AACTGTACACAAGAAGCAAACTTTCAATGTATGTCTCATCTAGAAAAAGATTGAGGGATTGTAATAAAATACAGCAAGATCGCAAGAGATAGGGAATTCCAGTAACAGAATGTAATTTCAGTTATTGTCAACAGATACACATAGGAAAAAACTGCATGAGCAACATTTGGAGCTCCCCCAGAATCCTCTGATATTACCCTGTAATTAAGCCATTATCAGAGAACAGTAAGATGCCAACATTTCAAGGCAGGTGGCAGCTATGGACCAGTGCAGTTAGTAAAGTTAGTTTGTGGTGGTAGCAGTAAATTAGAAATAAGTGATTTGGAGATGACCATAGGAGGACTCAAATGTCAAGTAGGAGCAGGTGTAAGGGAATGCGGAGGGTAAGAATGAGAAAAGGGGGCAGGTTGACATCCATTGAAGACTTTTGTCTCCTTAATAAAAGCTGTTACGGTCTCCAGAGCCAGCCTTAGGAGGTGCGGGGGCCCAGTTGGGAAGAGTTTTGGTGGGTCCCATGTATGAAAAGCAAGCAAACTGTGCACTTAAAAAATGTATGCGAACAAACAGATGTAAGCTACATTTTAACCCTTTGAGGGTTTCGGACGTACTAGTACGGCTTACGACCCAGGGTTTTTGACGTACTAGTACGCCTAAATTCTAGCGCCCTCAAATCTAGTGGGAGAAAGCTGGTAGGCCTTCATATGAAAGAATGGGTCTATGTGGTCAGTGTGCACAGTCTAAAAAAAATCCTGCAGCACACAGTGCATAATGAGAAAAAAAAAAAACTGACCATTTTTTTGGAATAAAACAGCGACTTTGCACTGTATTTTCGTATGGTATTTATTGTTGTATTCTAGTTTTCTTGGTCTCATTTTATAGAATGGAAGACATATTACAGAAATTGAGATGATTTTGACTGATTTTACAATGAAAGGTACCTTGAAATTGAGCTCAAAGTAGCAGAAATGTTCGATTTTTACCAAATTTCAAAAGTAAACAAATCGTGCCAAGCGTGCAATACACGTCAACTGGTGAGTCTAATATTCTTTCACAAGTGCACCAATAATATTTATACCATTTTTTACACTAATGCAGTAGTCTGCATAACAGTAAATCTTATATTTTTTGTGAGAATAAAAATTCAAAGTGGAAAGCAAAAGAACATAAGAGGGGCCTTGAGATGTGACTAATGACCAGAGGAAATGTCATTTTAGTGCCAGGAATGTCTTTCTTGTTTATTCTGGACCCTATTCGGAAATTGGCATCTTTTGAAATTTGTATGAAATTGGCAAAATTGCTAAATTCTGACCACTGTACTGGATAGTTGAATTTCATAAATGGATGGTTTCTTGCACCCATTCGATAGAAAAAATGGAGTTCTAGCGAAATATTCATGTTTTTGTCGACTAGTACAGTGGAATTGGCCGAAAATGGGGCTCAAAGTGGGCAAAATCGCCGATGCGTAAACATCGCCGATACCGCTAACTTTGCGAGAGCATAATTCCGTAAGTTTTCCATCAAATTTCAAACTTTTGGTGTCCTTATGATCGGGAAAAGATTCTCTATCTTTTCATAAGAGAAAATATTTTTTTTTTTTTTTTAAATTTGGCCGACCCTGAGAACGAGTTTCGGAGAGGGCCTGTCGACCCTCAAAGGGTTAATATAAAATTGCATACATGTAAGCCTACAAGTAACAAACAAAATTTGTATATCACCTCTGAAAAGTATATCATCACAATACCACTTGCTTTAGTGACTGTGAAATGATTTATTAAAAATATTATTTATTTTTGTTCAAAAAAGAATCAGGACTTAAATGCGCTGTTGGAAAGAAATTATCTTTTTCGGACTTCTAAAAATCATTTAACATTCGTAAACTATAAATGACTCGTATTATTATTGCCTTTTGTTAAGATAAAGTTATTTTTCTTGCTTTTTTCTCTGCAAAGTCTTTTAGAATTTTGCCAAAGTTTAAACTCCTGCTAATTTCAGATTCAATGGACATAACTGCCAAACTGTTCAAACTTTCTTGCTGAATTGATGATCTCAAATAAGTTTTGATTATTTTCAGCTTGGAAAAACTCCTTTCTCCAGATGCCCTTTTTTTTTTTTTTCATGTTGTGTGTACTTGACAAGCCAAGAGTAGATTACACTCTAGAGCGGGGCCCCCTTAGGCATGGGGCATAATTAGGAGCAGTTGGTCTAATTGGCTTAAGGCCGGCCCTGATGGTCTCAATAGCTTCTGAGGTCAAAGAAGCAGCAGGTAACAAGATGCAAGAGGTCGATGGAATAAAGATTGGAGAGACATTGGCAGTTGCCAAAATTGGAAGCGAGAGTAGTTGTGTCCTGGGATGAAGGAATCTGGGTGTGGACAGGGATGGGGTTAAGGGCAGTATATAATGATGGATGGATTTCCAAAACTATTACAGATGGAGGAGGAGGCATGGGGCAAAACACAGAGGTAGGGAAAGTTAGGCATGGAGGAAGAGCTGAGAGCCCAGCCAGGAAATTATTATAATCAAATAATAAATTGCTAATAGGTAGTAGGTTGGTAGACAGCAACCACCCAGGGAGGTACTATCGTCCTGCCAAGTGAGTGTAAAACGAAAGCCTGTAATTGTTTTACATGATGGTAGGATTGCTGGTATCCTTTTTTCTGTTTCATAAAACATGCAAGATTTCAGGTACGTCTTGCTACTTCTTACACTTAGGTCACACTGCACATACATGTATAAGCATATATATACATACCACTCTGGGTTTTCTTCTTTTTTCTTTCTAGTATTTGTTCTTGTTTATTTCCTCTTATCTCCATGGGGAAGTGGAACAGAATTCTTCCTCCGTAAGCCGTGTGTGTTGTAAGAGGCGACTAAAATGCCAGGAGCAAGGGGCTAGTAACCCCTTCTCCTGTATATATTACTAAATGTAAAAGGAGAAACTTTCATTTTTCTTTTTGGGCCACCCTGCCTCGGTGGGATACGGCCGGTTTGTTGAAAGAAGAAGAATAAAATGCTAAACTGACAAGGGTCATGCAGCGCTGTCCAGCCAGAAAAGGCTATGTAAGTGGAGAAACATGGAAATTGGAGGAGGATGAAGGAGTAAGAATGGAAGAAAGCGAAGAAGTAGGAATGTCAGAGGTGAGGACTGCATAAAGATTGGACACATGTGACTATAGGGTAGGGAACAACAGGGACACTGTCAGTGCCAAGCAGTTCTGGAGGAGAGCCACGGATGTATTCCTTGGAGGAGTTTAGTTATTGGCATAGTATGAGAAGCTCTCCTTTTCCTTGAGAGTGGAGTTCACTCTCTTGTAAGAAAACTGGGCAGTGGCAGGAATATGCTGGGTTGAGCTTCTCCACAGTTAAAGCAGGCAGGGGAAAGGTGTGGCTGCAGGATATTGTTATGATAAGTTGTATCACAGACCATACATGCTGCCAGTGATCTGCAATATGTGGCTGGGTGGCTTTAGCACCAGCACTGTCTACATTGTTGAAGTGTCATAAGAAGTTCTGCTATATAAACCAAGGCTAGAAACTCCCTGAAGTCGAAGGTCAGTTCAGCAATGTTGCTTGGAAAACATCTCTGACATCGGGCAAGGTAGACCTAAGTTTTCACTTTGGAGACAGAAGAATTCTGGAGCTCGAGTTGCTCCTTAATGTCCAAAACCACATTGCATAAATTCTTGTTGGACTATAATGTGCAGTATGATCACAATACTGCAGCTAGAATTGAAGAAGGTCTGCATATAGTAATGTGTGTTGTGATTAGAGAAGAGGGAAGGATAGTCAGCTTGTGCAGCATCCTTCACAACAATAAATTGCATTCCGCCAAAACGCTTCGTAAGTGCTTTACTAATGCCATGGTCATTAAGGTAATCATAGTTGTTCTTGGTTGAAGAGAAAAGAATTTTGTCCAAGATTATCTTTGAAATACTTCCTGTAGAAGAATAGGTTTCCAGGTAGTGTGTTTCTTAGGATAGGAACATAGTGTGTCAGTAGTAACAGTGTCTAAATCATCAAAGATGGGTTAAGGTCATTTGGACAATGACTTTGAGCCAAACTGTCCTGTTATGCTCGAATGATCCAAAAATCAACAGCCACTGTGGGAGAAGCAGGGAGCATGGTTATAATAAAATGAAGGTCAGGTGTATTAACAGGATCAGCCAGAATGCAGGTACTGGAGTGAGGCAATGAGGTGTTGCCAAAAAGTGATGCTGGGTTCAAGGAATGTCCACGGGAGTGCCGGGGTTAGGTAAGGGTGTCTTAGGGGCAAGGGGTCCAGGAGGCAAAGATTGAATTTTACTACTCATTACTGAAAATGTTTTTATATTTTTTATTTTTATAAAAAGAAAAGGAAGGGGCAGCTCCAAGGAGAAACAAAAACAAACCATATAACTCCCTCCCCTCAGTATTCTCGAGTATCTTCAGTGCGGCAGGCAGTGCCGATGCTGCATTGAAACCACTCCCTTACCCTACCTGGTATACCAATATCCCAATACACTAGGATGGCACCTCCACAATCAGCAAAGAAGAAAGGTTGGCAACTGGAAAATGTTGGGAGTCATACTCCTTTGGCTGCCACCTCCTGGAACCAAAAAGCAGCCTCCAAGAATACTTTTGCCACCCAAGGACACACAGGGCTGCCCTCCGAGGCCCTGGAAGGCAGCCCAGCATGTGTCCAGATAACCCAATTCCCACAGCTAACAGCACCACCACTGAGGTCCATGACTGAATGGAACAGATGACGATCTCTTTTTTTCCTCTGTCTAGGAGCCGAAATTCACAAAGGAGGAAATATCCTTAAATGGGGAAGCCAAGAGGTCTAATTCCTTGATCAGGAGCTCCTTTGCCATACCAAGGTACCCCATCCTTGAAGGGGCCACTTTGAATCAGATCCAACATCTTTTAATCCTGCATCTCTCCCAAACATCCTAGCAATCACATATACATAAAGGAGCACATATATTATAATTAGTAATGGACAAAAGCAAACGCTATATCTTCTTGGACGTACTTTATTACGAACTAGATGCTGTACAAAGGTTGAAACTGTTTGTATACAACAAATGAAGAATGAACGATGCGAGGCCAATAAAACAGGCCCCTTTTCTGCCCTCCATATAAACAAGATTGACTGAAGCCAAGTCAACTTAATAAATTATTTCAAAGGCCATCCTTTACAATTTATTTTTTTGCACTACAGTGTAATGCTTGTAAAATATTTAGTGATTTAGTTATATTTGATGCTATTTACCCCATGAAAAAATTTAAACAAAGAAGAATTTAACTTAATAAAATTTAACTTTGGGTATAAGCCTTCCAACTTACAATAACCATAATTTTCACTATCTAAAACTGAGCACATAAATACACATCTACTGACTGTACATAAAATACTAGTTAAAGAATATGATTGCAATTGCCCTCAATATGTAAACAAAGGTTAACCTCTTAATTCCTAATCCTGCTACTCTTTGCACTGGAACTATTTCTGTGTTTCTTTATTTTAATTTTGTCTTTGACATCTCTTTCCTTGACTGTGATAAAGGAGGAGTGAAAAGAAATAAACCATTCAACAGCTGTTGAATTGTCACCTGCAACATGTACACACACTGTACAAATATATAATAAAATATGAATGTAATATCCATACAAAAAAATAAATAAATGGGGCAATAGGCTAATTGCCAATAAATTAACTTAACTGGCAATTCTAGATTTAAATTTGTGCTTCAATAGGATTCCTGCTGGCTGCCACCAAGTGATAAAAATAGGAAATGGTATTGTGAGGTCAAGGACTACAACTGCTTATTTCTTTACAGTTGCTAACAATTATGACCTGAATTATTTTATGTCATCCCTCTGCTGACTGTATTAGAACATGCATAAAACAATTTTTGCTAGTAGTCACAACTCTCATTTTCATCTATACTTAAAGGGTAGGAACACATTTGATGGCCAAATTGTTGGTTTATGTAATTTAATGAACCATACTAAAGAATGGCAAGCTGATGCAAATGCTCCTCCACATCCTAGAACTTGCATCGGAATGAACTACCTCAAACTTAAGATCAAAGTAACATTATGTGTGTAGAAACAAGTCACTGAGACCCCAAGTTTGGCAAGGCGTCCTTTACTAAACACGGCACAATTAAATACACACTGAAAGAAGGGAAGGGGTTGAGAGGCCTAACTCTTTTTAAGTCACCACCCAGGTACCCAGAACTACTAGAGGGTCAAACTTGGCAGCCAACATAACTTGACAACCACTAACATTCAACAACCAACAAACATACATTGCTGGCACACAGGGCAGCTCCCAAAGGCAACCAAACACTTTCCCAGAGTGGCTGCTTAGAATAGCAATTAAATGGATTTTATTTATCTCTCATAGCAACTAATGATTTGGCCAGTACACTTAATACATATTATACAGAGCTGCTGACACTCAAGACTGGAAGAAAACCAGGCTTGTATCATGAAAATAATATCTTATTCATAAAGTATCTAAAAATATTATTCTAATTACACAGAAGACTATATTTTTTCTTGTATTTCCAGATTCACTGCATAGCCTCTACTCTACATGTAAATAAATATTTGCATTAATTTCTACTTCGGCTACTACACAGCACATATTTACAGATGTTTATCCCTGCCAAATCATACCCATGAGAAAATATGGAAAGGGCCTTTTGCACTAGTGACTAAAGGGCCATTTTAGTATCAAGCAAAATGATCCTCAAGATTCACAATAACAAACAATCAATGCAATATTAAATAATCTTGATGTAAGGATATAAATTAAAAAAAGTAAATAGAACCAAGAGAATAAAAGACTTTGGCAATTGAAAGAAACAAGAAAATGTTGGTCATTAATCTCTTTTTTGCTTTTGCTTAAACATATTCTACTCTGCTTGTGTTCTCAGTACCCCTCAAACTGATGAACACTCATACTCCTAATCTGTTCATCACTAATACTGTACATACATATACCCTTATATATACTGTATTCATAGTAAATGTCTTATAAAACATGTAGCATAAAATCAGTAGATGCAGAATATTTCAAATAAATAAAAAATATAATTTTATTGGAAAATAACAGAAATGATGAAGGGTTATGATTGGACAGAGATGGAAAAAAAGATTTGGGGCCCGAATTCAGTAAAACTAGTGTTCCAGGCTAGTCATAGAGAATTTTGGTAACCTGGTTGTTCCTTTCCACCCTTGCAGGGTTTCTTTATGAATTCGGCCCAGGAGTTGAAAGTAAGGCAGGTGGTGGTTTTGGGCTCGGTCTTGTCATGCTGACATAAAAGCTACTATGTACCTCCATTATCCATATCCGCACCTTATACTTGTGATAGGTTTCAGGCATATTCATATTAAAAAAGCCACTAAAATGAGGTATGCTTACAGAATGCCTACACCAAAATGGCCATACATCCCTTTTTCAAATCAAAATCATAAATGAAAGTTAAGGCTATACATTTTCTAATAATAAAAAGTACCAGTAAATTATATATAGTATCCAAAACATTTTGTTCTGATTCCCCTTTAAAGCAGCTGATTCCATGTTCTTTTTTGGAGAACCGAAAGCAAAGACAAATAATTTTCTGTCACTTGTCACAAATTTTCTGTGACATAAATGTATGTACCAATTTAATTTTAAGATACAAAGTAATGTAAGAGGCTGTTGGTAAACATTTGAAAAAAACTAATGAAATAATATGGAATGGCTAAAAATTAATTTGCTTTGCAAAATATAACTTTGGCAGAGAATTAAAATTGGTAACTAAGGGCTACAGGACAAGCTGTTGCACTCTCTCTCTCTCTCTCTCTCTCTCTCTCTCTCTGGAATATACCCTCAACTTTAAAGTTTCCATAACCACATTAATTTAAAAGAGATTTGTTTTAAATATTTTTGTTTCAATGTTATTGTTGATGGCCATACATTTCTTTTATTTTTTAAATATCTTGCATTTTATATAAGCAGTTTTAAATTATTTTTAAATTCAATTAATAAATTATTAATTCACCTTATCAGTGAGTATTACTTGAGTGCTAAACCAATACTAAAGGAATAATTGCAAAACTGCCAAAAGTATAAATGTTTTAGCACTTTAGAAAATATTATATCTGCAATATTTCAATATGTAAGAATATTAAGAACATTTGTACAAGACAGACATACTGATAAAAAATCTGCACAGGCAAAAACAACTATGGAGATTTTTACAAATTTTTCTGGATATAGACTAATTAAAAAAAATCCACACTCATATAACAACAATACATAATGTTACTAATAGACAAAGCACTACTGATACAGTATTTAATTGTGGTTTTCTTTTTAAAACATGAGTCATTTCCCACCATGGCTGGGAGACCAAAACAAGTAGTCTCACCATCACTTGCTTCCTAGCTGCCTTAAAAGAAGAGTAATCCAACATACTTACCTGATTTCAGTCTGAGCACGCATTTCCTGTCTTGAAAGTCAACCTGTCCAATAGTTATTACATTCTGGAATCTCAAAAACTTACCTTAAATGATTCACTTCATACCACTACTCTCAAAATAATTTTCTTTTAATCATTCAAACATATTGCAGTTGCACACTGTACATGAAATCAGCTGTTTTACTGAATGTAGTTAAAACATATTTTATCACCAATATATAATTTAGGACATTTAATAGCTAAATGCAACTAAATGAACTTGAAAAACTTGAATTTTACTATAAGTAAAATAACTGACTTGTAAGTAAACTGTTCATCACACCACTAAGAAGAGGTTTATATATGAGATCTGAGCATTAATGCAGTATATTTAGACTTCGATAATAATTCTCTTCATTGTGTTCAACACGCAGCAAGATATCCACTGCAGCAGCAATAAAAACCAAGAAGTAAAAACAAGAGATATTTTATCAAGCACTTCAAAGTAATGTTTTCATGATAAAAAATTAAATGTTAGATTTATTTTATTAGCAGTCATTTATGCAACTTAAAAGAAGCTATTTTCACATGTAAAGTACAGTACACCTTAATTCTGTGTATTTGTTTTCCAACAATAAACATTTCTATATCATACAAAGTTGTGCACCTCAAGCCTTTTGTTACTGCACTGTCAAAAAGGCCACTTATCAACCACCATTTATGGACCTTCAGACTTGCAGCTACACTCTAGTGCTTACCCCCTTTATCTGAGTTTGCCAAACATTTTAAAATTGATAGGAAGGTCATGGGAATCAGTGTGATGGGAAGGGTTTCAGTATTTTGTAGTTACACACTCACTAACACTTTCATGCTCACCATTTATATACATTGAAGAAATTATCTGTACATTTACTGATATTAGCATTTACATCTTACATACTCAATGGAAGGTTTATGTAAAATGCTACATCACTTACGCAGTTCTTTAATGCCATATATAAAAAACTCTACCTGACCTTACTATTAAAAACTGTACTTCAACATCTGGCAGAAGCATGTATAGCTGCTCTACACAGGGGAAGGGGGGATGGGGGAAAAGAAAAAAAAAGAATAAAAAATAAGGTTTATGATAATTTGTAAAAAAGGTCCACGTATCTACACTGCTGTAAACACTTCAGGCGAGTAACTAATTCACTCTTTTTTATTTTTAAATTAATGTTCATGCACTCACACTCAAACGCTTGAGTCTTTGGAATAGGAGAGAGAGCCCAGCGTCAGACTCCTACAGGACCCTACAGACATGTGTGACAAGCTTCCCGCAGCTCCATCTGTAGTTTCTGAGTAGTCACACAGTCTTTGGTCACCAATATGGATGGCCTCTGTAGCTCCTGCAATATCACTTGTTTCATACTGCACATATTGCAGCTAATTTTCAAGTCACAGATACATGAAAGCCGTGTAGTAAGTCTCTTGACAAAGAATACATTGTACTACACAGGATCAACTGAAAATATGCTCTTTACTTTGGTTTGCTTCTTTGTGTGTGTGTGTGTGCGCATGTGTGTGTGTGTGTGTGTATGTGTACACTGTATGTGAATGCATGCATTGCATAAATTATATATGTATTGGTTAGGTGACAATCATGAATCTCATTATATGGGCATTTATTTTATTCCAAAATTTGATTATGCAATAATACACAAAATTCACTTGCTTGCAGTATGCCACTTAATTATTCAATGTCTGTCAAATATTAAATTTTTCCTTCAGCTCCCACTGGGAAAGGTGGTTACCTTACGTAGGTGGAAAATGTTCATTCCACTTCGTTTCAAAGAAGGATCGAAGGTTATGCCCAGCTTTGCCGACAGGGGAGTCGTCTTCATTAAATGTCTCGCAGTTATTGAACATGAGTCTTAAATCTTCACAATACTCTTCTCGTGTCTTGTACCTGTGGGGAGAGTCCAATGTAAACATCATTGTCATCTTTTATGTACTGTTGTAACAATTGCAAATCAAATCTAGAATATATTCAACTGCTCTGCATTTTGGCATTTTTACCAGAATATGTACAGACAACAGAGAAGGGATAAAAAGATAAATTGTAGTGTTTTCCTGTATTAGTCTACCATAATATACAAATACAAAATAAATAAATAAAGACAAAATAAGAGGAATAAAATAATCTGCAATGCATAAGAAGAAATAATTTCCAGATTACCAATTGGTTTGGACTGAACGTTACATTTCTTATATAATACTGAATATGCAGGAGTGTCACATTATAGCATAAGTATAGAAACCTATGTTTTAAACACTGAACAATGTACTTCTGCATTAAGGGACCTCAGAGGATTGGGGCTCACCTGGAATAATATCGCACTTATTCTTCCTAACCTGTACAGTACCTATCGTATACAGTATCTCCAAGCCTTTGAATTGTATTATTGCTAGTCTGTCCTCAAAACAGCCTCATTTTCCTGACTCACAAGTCATTATTCTACTGCTGTAGTGCACAAGTACTAGGCAAGACATGCACAACTAACCAGCTCCAAAAAATGAGCTGATCGAAAAGTTATGATATACTGTACATTTTCCTAATCTGCATGTACAAATTACAGATTACTGAAGTGTCTTGAATTGTGACCAAACTTACAGGTTATCATCTAGCTTTTTCTTGATAGCAGATAGATCCATGGGCTTCTTAATGATCTTTTTGTAAGTTGGGAATTGTCGAGTGTTCACAGGAAGGAGAAACGGCCAGGCATCTTCGTGAACTTCCAACTCCGAAATGATGCTCTTACATGACTGCAAGTCTTTCTGTTCTTTCTGTAAGAGGAAAGAAAATTGAAGAAAATAGGGGTACTTTTTCTGTACTTGCATTCCTTAATCCAATCAAGATTTTTCTCTTGAAATTAAAGGAAAGACCACAATGGAAATAAACCACAGAAATCTACTGCACTATTGTAGGTTAAAACTACGTACTAATTGGCCATGTCTGTCTTTTTTTTTTCATCAAACCAGCCCTATCCCACTGAAGCAGGGTGGCCTAAAAAGAAAAACAAAAGTTTCTCTTTTTAACTTTAGTAATATATACAGGAGAAGGGGTTACTAGCCCCTTGCTCCCGGCATGTTAGTTGCCTCTTATGACACACATGGCTTATGGAGGAAAAATATGTATGCCTATAATAACCATCTGCTTATTGGAACCATTGTACATATTCATAATAGTGTCTGTAAAACCACATGTAGTTGACCTGAACAACATTTATCTTAAGTCTATGACTGAATTTTTTTTTCATAAAGTATGTAAATAAAAGTTGGAAAAAGAAGCTGCACTGGTGAGAAGGAAGTTATGAGACTGGATTGGCATTTTGACCTGGTAGCTCAGTGCTCTTGGTAAAAAAATAAATACAAACCATTTAAAATTAAGTACACGTAAAAAAAATAAAAAGCTACAATTATGACAAAAATTCAAGATAAATAAATACTCTTCCAACAAGTTAAAAATAACCTACATCAGTTCAAACCCCATTAAAAAAACAATATCAAAAAGGCAATTAAAAGATCCCTGAGGTCCCTATAGATACCCCAGTAATTAGAAAAAAAAAATATATGAATTACCAGTAAGCAAAAGAAAAGGCTGAAACAGTGGGCAAACAATTAAATGTGGTCCACAGTCAGCAGCAAGAACATCTACAAGTAGGTAGCTATGGGTAAAGTGTGTATACCTGATCCTCAATCAATTGAGGGAAATCTCAGTGATAATTCCTGTTGGAGGAGGGTCAAACACTCACATCATGTTGAATCTTGTATAATTTGTTGTTCATCTGAAGGGCCAGACCATACCCACCACTTCCAAAGGCTATACTTATGTATGTAGCTCATGTAGGCACTGTGAGGCAGAAGTCTGCTATACATTCAGTGAGTATCTCAAGTATGTGGCATACCATACCCTTTTCTCATAAATATGACAGTGCAGGAACCCCAGATAACACCATCTTCCCTTAACTGTGACTTGATATAGGAACTTCAAGTAATATATTATTTCCTTAGGAACCTAAAGTTACCTTATCTTTCCTTAAATGTAACTTGGTGCAGGAACCAAAGGAAACAGGAAACACTTTCAGAATACCAATAAAAAAAACAGCAAGATTCAGTCACCATTCATTCATCATTTTGTTTGATGGTGTGTAGTTTAATTTATTAATTTACATATTTATTTTATAATTTAATTTTGTCACTACTGCAATTTTGGCAAGTCATTATTGATTGCTGTATCACTAAAAATTATGGCAATCTCTAACACTATTAATATTTCTACAGGTGCTTCTGAAAGCAGATCATGTGTAAAACAAGCGTTACATTAACTTAGGTAAAAATGGTCATTAACACCTTTATACCTTTGATATACTTTTGAAGAGTTTTGGAGCCCGGCCATGGGCCAAGCTCATCAAGTATTTAAATCAGCACCTCATGTTTTTATAAAGACATTTGTGAAAAGATGTTTTACCCAATAAGGGTGTTATCAATCTAATAAAGAGAATGAGTAAGATAATATAAATAGTCAAAAAGGTCAGGTGTTGTTAATGAAAGAGAGAGAAAAAAAAAGATGGCCATGTTTTGCTTAGGTAGAATATATTGTGTGAGGATTTTTTAAATAATTAACTTCCAATATTTTGAGCTATGGTGTTGGTGTTAACGATGAGTGTAAAAAGCACCTACTGCACTGATCCAATTCCCTGATAACTAGTTTGGCATTCTGGAAGTCCACAGGTATTGTAACAGATGAGAAGAGTGTTGTTCAAACTGTTCCTTTAACATGCATAACAGTGTTCCTTGATATATGTAAGATTTCTGAAAGTTACCCCAATATGTACTTTGTCATGTCTCCCGTGGAATGGTATTTACCCTACACCTTGTGTTCTGTTTCTTAGTATATGTGGGCCTTAATAATGCTACAAGTTGCCTGTAGTGGAAGTAGTAGTAGATGTAGTATAAAATAGGGGGAGTAGTTTTTTGCCACAAGAGACAGAAAGGTAAGAGAAGGGAGGCAAAAGAATAGTAGTAGAAATGGTAGAAACAGTAATAGTAGTACAGGAGTGGGAGTCATAGTAGTAGTAGAAGTGGAGTAAGTCTAGGGACAAAGAAAAGGAGCACTGCAGGAGAGCTAAGGACCCACAAGGGATAGGACCAGAAACACAGGGGGATGGGGGGAAGGGGGGGGTGAAAACTGAAGGACAGAACACACTTGGCAGAAGAAAGGAAAAACAAAGAAAGAAATACAGAAAAATAAGAAAGGGGAAGAGGTAGGGAGAGATGAAAGGATCAGTTCAAGCCAGGAATATTCTGAAGTTCGGTGAGTTGACAATATAAGGAGAAAGAAAGCCATCTACAGAGAAAAAGCCTCCTGCAGTGTTTCTTTTTCTTGTCCCTAGACTTACCCCACTTCTATTACTACCACATTTACCTTTTCTACTACTACTACTATTGCCTCCCTCCTCTCACTTTTCTATCTCTTGTGGCAAAAAACTACTCTCCCTACTTTCTACTACCTCTGCTACTACTTCCTAAGTTGCCTATTTACATTCTTGTAATGAAATCTGCTAGTTTTTATTTGGCTTAATAGTTTTTTTATTGTAAACAATTTAGCTGAAGCTCCTTTACTTCCTCTATGATATTTTTAATTGGACCCACCTAATGTGATTGTTGGGGTTAAACTGTACCTCAGCTGAAGTTACCCCTTCTATAAATGCATTTCTGAAATTCATATTAAGTATCTAGCATTCCTCTTCTAATTGTGATTTCTGCCATCGTCCTTGTTGCTTTGCATTCTGTCTTGCATAGTTAGTGTGCTTTATACAAACTTGAACATAAGATCTGGCTCCACCTTGCTCTTATATGAAAAAAAAAATCTTTAAAATTTCTTTCTTCCTCCCTCCTTATATTTGTGTACCGTATTTCTTTTTGGCTTGTTTGAGTCTCTGTTAAGTCTCCAGGTTGGCAAGCTTCTTTTATTACTCCTTGGGCCAGGCTCATTCTTTTACATGGCTGTTCATAATCTGTTAAACCATTTCTGTATGTGCCAACATTTTCTATTTTTTTGGAATAGACATGTAAATAATGAACTTGTACAATACTAGGATATTTACATTTCATTCCTGGGAGCCCAATTAATTTAATGAACAATTTGATTTCATTTTCTTGTATGCTGCAGAACTAGTAGCATCTGTCTCTCATAATACTTTGTACTTTTTTTGTCTTTGAAAATACTGTTTTGTCATTATAATTTTTCTGATAATCTAGTAAATCCTGTTTGTGCTTTACTTTTCCTTTCTTAATTCATACTTTGCAACATATAATATTTCCAACAGAACATGATAACTTTTCCAATTTTTTTTAATTCCTTTGACAATAAACTGGGAATATGACATATGGAACAATGGTAAAAAATGTTAGCAACTGTAGAATCACCAAGGAAAGTAAGGACTTCTATAAAACAACTACAAGAGTAAGCAGCAAGTCAGTTTAGCAAGAAGTGGCTGAAGGATCGAGCTCCCACCACTACAAACGATAATGATCCACAAGGGGTTTAAAGCGTCAAGCAAATAAATGCATAAGGCTTTCGTAAGTTTTTAACTTGATACACCAACCATCTCCTACCAAGGTTGGATGACTCAACAGAGAGAAACACTTTCATTGTTATTCATTCAATCACTGCCTTGCCAGCAGTATGCTGACATCACAGTTCAATGACCCTCCAAACTGCAACATCCACACCCCCTCCTTCAGAGTGCAGGTACTGTATTTCCCACTTCAGGGACTCTAAGTCTGTCTAACCAGTTTTCCTGAATTCCTTCGTAAATGTTATCCTGATCACACCCCAACAGCATATCAAATCACTTCTATCCAACATACTCACACAAACCTGTTGGATGTCCATAAGCATATAAACTAAATAATGTAGATCTTAATACTACTGATTGCAAAAAGGATTTAGGAGTTCTGGTTAGCAGTAATCTAAAACCAAGACAACAGTGCATTAGTGTTTGCAGTAAAGCTAACAGAATTCTTGGCTTCATAACTAGAAGTATAAATAATAGAAGTCCTCAGGTTGTTCTTCAGCTCTATATATCCTTGGTTAGGCCTCATTTAGACTATACTGCTCAGTTCGGGTCACCGTATTACAGAATGGATATAAATGCTCTGGAAAACGTACAGAGGAGGATGACAAAGATGATCCCATGTATCAGAAATCTTCCCTATGAGGATAGACTGAGGGCCCTGAATCTGCACTCTCGAAAGGTGTAGAATTAGGGGGGATATGATCGAGGTATATAAATGGAAAACAGGAATAAATAAAGGGGATGTAAATAGCGTGCTGAAAATTTCCAGCCAAGACAGGACTTGCAGCAATGGTTTCAAGTTGGAAAAATAAAGATTCAGGAAGGATATAAGAAAGCACTGGTTTAGTAATAGAGTTGTGGATGAGTGGAACAAACTCACAAGTACAGTTATTCAGGCTAAAACGTGTAGTTTTAAAAATAGGTTAGATAAATACATGAGTGGGTGTGAGTTGGACCTGACTAGCTTGTGCTGCTGAGTCTGGTGCAGTGCTCCATCCTTGCGTTTAAGTGACCAGACTGGGTGGGTTATTGGGCTAATCCGGGGGGGACACATGGACCTTCTCCGCATGGGTCAGTAGGCCTGTTGCAGTGTTCCTTCTTTCTTATGTTCTTATATAAGGAACTAAGGCCAAGGTGGCTAAAGATTTTACCACCACCTTAAACTGAATGAGATCAGATGTCAAGTGGCAAGATTTTGAGCTATGTAGTTGACTTAATAAAAGAGGATTTCCATGGCTGCATTTCCAGCTACAGAACAAATAAGACCTTATTGTTTTCTGGTCTTTAGGTCAATCCTTCAATAGTTGTAAATATTCTGTCAAAGTTTTAACTGGATATAGTGAAGCATTACTAGATAGCCCATCAATTTTAAATTGCTTCTTTAGGCAGTGATCCTTATTTCTACATTAATTATTAATTAGTGAACATGATGTCTGAGGATCATGCTATTATAATCTGGAGAGGTTCTTCAAACATATATTTGTGAACTTGTATTGATTTGGCTGTGTAAATAAAAGAAAAGCTAAATGAAAGTCATATGACTTTGTGTGTAGTTATGTTTCTCAAAAATATGTTTATGGTTATGAAATACAATTGGACCCCTCAAATATGTGGGGTTCATTATTCGAAGAATTCAGTTCTCCAAAATTTTTGGTGATGGAAACCTGGTGAATATGATTATTCACGTTACTAATTTTTTTTTGAGGTTTGGAGTGCACACTGAGATGCTCAATATGCTTCCCATAGCCAAATCTCTTTTTCTGGTTATTCTTTCTTAAGAATGTCAGTATTAACCAGATTAGAGGGATATTTAAAAAAAGAGAATCCATCTGCTGTATTACCTGCAACTACACTTGTAGTGGAATATGGCAATTCAAGTTTCCACCTCACCATGGCAACGAGAATGGCGAATGGCTTTCAACGAGCTCCAGATGATGTGAAAATTCACCTGATGAGGATGCCACTGACTGGAGGAAAGTGGACATTTTAAGCATTGCTCCCAAACTCTGAATCAAAGCATCTGTCATTATGTTGTTCGAGGGCGGTACAAAAGTCATCAGACATACCTGCACAGGTTGCATGACTGGGACGACCAGTGAAGAGTCTCTGGAAGGGAGGACGGGGAAGGAAACAGGCGATCCCTGAGGTGAGAAGAGGAAATATATTTCACCAATCTGATCAGTGGGATGAAGTGCAGCCCTCCCAGAGGGAGGAGAGAAGCTGCAAAGATCAAAGTTCCTAGCATGGACTCCATCTGTCGATGAGTTAAACCACTGTAAGGTTGACAGTGACTGTATGTTTTGAAATATGTCTAATTGTTTCTCCGAAGGAAGAGACAGGTGAAGATCCCAAAAGTTGAATTTAATCTCTAGCCATATAACCTTCTCAGAGAAACAGAAGTAAGATTTCTCCCACTTATGAAGAAAAACTGCATGTTGTAATATGAAGATCACCAGGCTCTGGTATGTCGAATTTGGAGGCAAATTACTTATCAGAATACTGTCTGATAAACAGTTCAATGTCCTTCATCTTTAACAGTCAAATGATCAGATGGCAAGCTCTCACGAATATTCAGTCCTGTCTTAAAAGGCACTCACTGAAACTGATAGTTGGAGTCCTGCAGGTGGAAGGCAAAGTAATTCTGGAACCTGTGATGCAGCCCTAAGGGCAATTCAAAGTTGCCAGACACCTGAAAGACCCAGGAGCACTGGAAGGGACTGAAAGAAATTAGAAGCAAAGAAATAACTTTATATATGCTTCTCTTATTTGCCAAGTATGAAGAGTGGAAAATAAACATACTTAGAACAGGACAATGACACTCTCTGAGGTCTGGGACAGAAGGCATCTGCACAGCAGATAGATCACATCCCAAACTAACATCTGTGAAGTTTGGACATTAGAGCAGAAAGAAGGCAGTGGATGTACAGCCACATTAAGTGGGAAATTACAGTCTTAAGCAAAGGTGTAATTATCTATTTATTGCTACACTATGTCTTGTCTTCAATATTTAGTTAGTCATTACATATTTTAAAGTTTCTGGTGGTTGTATTACTTATTACCTCCTCTTGTAAACATTCCATTTTCTACCACTCTGTTTATAAAGAAAACTTATCGAGCATCCTTTCAGCATCTCTTCACTTGTTTAGTTATGGCCTCTTGTTTGCTGTATCGTTTACAATCTTGTATGTGGTTATCTTGTCTCTTCTCTTCTTCCTATCAGTCATAGATGGTATATCCAATATCTTCAGCCTTTCCTCATAGCTCATGCTTTTAAGCTCTGGCAACCATTTCTTAACTTGTCTTTGGATTCTTTCTTATATGTTCACATTTTTTTAGTAGTAAACACAATACTACTGCTGTATATTCCAATTTGCGTTTAACATATGCTGCCAACATATCTTTCAGCTATTTCCATCCATGAATTAGATGTTATTCTGAAGTTAGCCAGTGTCACATGGAATGTACTAGGACTGTACTCTCCAATATCTGTTGTGTCCAGGTGTTTTAATTTCAGACTTCCTTGCTGTAGTATGCAATCTTCACCCCTAAAGCTACAGATGGTGATACTTTCCCATAAGAGCTAAGGATGGGGTTGAGGGTATTAGGTCCATATATGATATCTAGGAGATGGAATAGAGATTTAGGTGGCAGCCTTCCCGAGAAGCAGAGCTCTATGTCTACACAGATTAACCTACTTGCTGGGATACCCAGTGGAATGGGATCCATGGTGGAGGTGTTACTTGTGCTCCCTATTTCTATTTTGCAGTGATAAGTTGTGTGAATAAGACTGAGTGGTGGTAACCTATAAGTATGTTAATTCAGTACAAAGAGGTAAACTACTTTAGTTATACTGACTCCAATCTCCCTAATGTGTAAGTTAATAAGAGGCTAAGGAGATTTAAATGAAGATTTAGAAAGTTAAGAGAGCAATTGTCTCAAATTTTCCAGTCATAAGTTTGATAGAACATATTATACTCCCATCTTGCCTTACCCATATTGATCTTAAAAAGGGTGTCCTTTACACCCACAAGATATAATATGCACAGGAATTTCTCTATTAATTTTATTAATGTGATTTTCCATTATAAGCAGAAAGAGATAAGGGCACTTTTATTCTGCCAGTCGAGGGACACAGCACGTCCATGAAGTCATCAACTCTGAGAATATGGAGAGAGAGACTCAACCTTATGATGAATGCTAACCCTCTCGGGGTCAGTCCCGTAATATTATGACTTTGAAATCAGGGTTGGTCCAGTAATAATACGCCAAAATTCTAGTGACTTCTAATCTTATGGGAGAAAGCTGGTAGGACTACATATGAGAGAATGGGTTTATGTGGTTAGTGTGCACAGTATAAAAAAAATCCTACAGCACACAGTGCATGAGAAAAAAACTGGCCATGTTTTTGGTATAAAACAGTGACTTTGCAGTGTATTTTCATATGTTTTTTACAGCTGTATTCTCAGTTTCTTGTTCTCATCTGATAGAACGGAAGATATATTACAGAAATAGAGATGATTTTTGAATGGTTTACAGACTAAAAGTAGCTTGAAATTGAGCTCAAAGTAGCAGAAATGTTCAAGAGTAAACAAAACATGCCACATGTCCAATACACATCAAGTGGCTGGTCTAATATGCACTCACAAATGCATTAACATTATTTATACAAATATTACCATTATGCAGTCTGAATAACAGTAAATCTTCTGTTTTTTGTGTGAATAAAAATTCAAAATGAAAAGCAAGCATAATATAAGAGGGGCCTGGAGACATGACTAATGAACAGAGAAAATGTTATTTTAGTGCCAGGAATGTCTACATTATTTATTCTGGATCCTGTTTTGAAATTGGCCTTTCTTGAATATTGTGTGAAACTGGCCAAATTAGTTTCTTGTACTCAGTTGATAGAATAAAAGGAGCTTTAGCTAAACAGCCATGAGTTTGGTCAACTGGAACAAGGGAATTGACCCAAAATAGGGCTCAAACTGGTGAAATAGCAGATGTGTAAATATCACCAAGACCACTAACTTCGCAAGAGCATAATTCCGTAAGTTCCCATCAAATTTCATGCTTTTGGTTTCATTACCTATGGAAAAAGATTTTCTATCATTTCATAAGAAAAAATAATTAGTTTTTAAATTCTTCAACCCTGGGAGGAAGTTAGTGAGCAGGGGTCTCAACCCTCAAAGGGTTAATTAATGATAAACAAATAGTCCATCAGAGAAATGAAGACCTTTTAGTGAAATTTCCACTCATAAGAACCCTGAAGGAAATGAGATAAGTGATCAGCCAGGGAACAGTACTGAGATGCTTGTGTAAATGCAAGAGAAGTAGAAGTAAACTTTGCTTAGAACTGCTTTTCTCTGGAACACAAACCTGTCACTAAGCAGTCAATTACTGTATTTAACTAAAAATAATACAGCAAACTATCTTATATTCAGAATTATCCTAAATTTGTATAAATTCAGAATTCGGCAATGGCGATTCCAAAGTCTGGAAATTTCAAAGTAAGAGTAAGAATTATGAATATCAATAAATGTACCTTAAGTCTGAATATTTTTTCAAATTCTTATTTTCATAATTTGGACGCTTATGTGCACGCAGAAACTCAAATGAGAGAAAATGCTATTAACTAAATTATTCATCTTTCTTTAATACTGTAGTACAGTAAACTACATGTATAGTATGACTACAATATATTTAATATATCATATGTAGATTCTCCCTAGGTAGCAGGTTGGTAGAAAGCAACCACCCAGGGAGGTACTACCGCCCTAACAAGTGAGTGTAAAACGGTAGCCTGTAATTGTTTTACATGATGGTGGGATTGCTGGTGTATTTTTTCTGTCTCATAAACGTGCAAGATTTCAGGTACGTCTTGTTACCTCTACTTACACTTAGGTCACACTACACTTGCATGTACAAGCGTATATATACGAGGAAATATAAGAGGAAATAAACCAGAACAAAAACCAGTAAAAAAACAGAACAAAACCCAGAGGGGTGTGTGTATATATACACACACCCCTCTGGGCTTTGTTCTATTTTCTTACTAGTTTTTGTTCTGGTTTATTTCCTCTTATCTCCATGAGGAAGTGGAATGGAAAATGCGTGCCGTAAGAGGCGGCTAAAATGCCGGGAGCAAAGGGCTAGTAACCCCTTCTCCTGTATACATTACTAAAGTTAAAAAAAAAAACTTTCATTTTTCTTTTTAGGTCACCCTCCCTTGGTGGGATATGGCCGGTTTGATGAAAAAAAAAAATGTATATTCTCATCAATTACTAACTGGAATGTTCAAATGTAGTATTTATGAAACTATAATTAGCAAGATCTCACACCACACAGGGTCAGATCTAGAATATTCATAATTTTATCAGCGTCACATGTACAATAATAACTTTCTATGATAATAAAAATAATTACTATTATTTGAATTTTCTGAGACAATTGCATCACTCCCTTTGTACTCATCTATATGTGGTTGTAAGAGTCATGTTTTAGCTCATGGCCCTGCCTCTCAATGTGCCACTTACTAGATTTATTTGTTTCTAGCCCTATTGTAATTATTCTTAAAACAATGTACCCCTTCTTTGTCAGGCCTTTCCATTTCCTGACCATCCTGAGACTAAAGAAATATGTTCCAAGATCCCTGTAGCTTACATGTCCTAAACTACCATCCGTGTTTCCGGGTATCTGCTTCCTGCTCCTCAAACAGCTTATTCCTGTCTTACCTATCAATTCCTTTAAGTGTTACTGCAGGTTTGTGTACAGTATTGCCCCCTCCCTCTCCCTCCATGAAAACATTACAGATTAGTTTCTAACCTTTTTATTGACACGCTCCTTTTTGGATGTAGTGGCAGGAGAAACAACACCTTGAGAGTCATCAAGAGTATCCATGACTTCCGTTGATACATTTGTGGTTGCAGATACAGAGGAGTTGTTACTCTCACTGACCTTCTTTGTTCTGCCTCTTCTTCCTCTTGGGCTTTTATTTGTGCAAGCTGGACAGACCCATTTGTTTCGTGGTACCTGTTAGTGAATGAAGGTGAATCTTATTAGATTATATCATTTTTTAACACTGGCCATCTCCCAATGAGGTAAAGTGATGCAAATATGAGGAACCATATGCCTCCTTTTAAAGTGAAGGCACTGTACTACGAAAAAACAATTTAAACATTCCTCCAAATAAGACAAATCAGCATTCAAAATTTGAATTCAAACAGGTCAGACATTCTTCAGTTATCACATGGCAACCAATAATCCTAATTTTTTAATTACTGTTTCTGGGTTACCCTACCTCACTGGAGATGGCCAGTGTGTTAAAAGGAAATGAAAATTTGCACATATACAACCTAAAATTATACTGACTTCCTTTAAGCAAGGTTCATCAATCATCAAAGTTTGAAACTGCTCATAAGAGGCATTTTCAAGTTACCACACAGAAAAAATTAACAACATTGGCAAATTAGCATCTACACAGGTTCAATAACAATCCATTCCTTGGTATAAGCAAGATACACCTGTATTGAAAGTTTTCAAGCCAGTCCGAGTAGGCATTGTCAAATCATCACTAGGAACCCAAGTAACAATCAGTAACAATCTAAGCTTTCCTCTAGATATGATATACCAGTGATGAGTGTTTGAAATCAATTAGAAAAGATATTCTCAAATTAATCATGGAAATCTTGAAAGAAAAAGGAATTACACTTGCAATTGCGTATCCCCTTTCAGGGATACATAATTACAAACAGGAAAATACAGACATACGACAGAACACTTTACACTTAAAACAAAAGACCCAATGGTATATGGGCAGGCCCCGCTCATACAGCAGGTTAGGTTCCAGGATACTGCTATAAAGAGAATATCACTGTAAAGTGAAACATGGCCTTTTTTCACTTTCAAATGCATATAAAAGCCAGATAACATGTTTATACTATCATATGTTAAGTGAGCAATAGAGCTAGGCCTAAAAAATACATATACAGTACACACATTACTTCTTTTTTTTTTTTTTTTCAAAAAACTGACTGTATCCCACCAAGGCAGGGCGACTTTCAAAAGAAAAATATAAGTTTTTCTTTTGAAATTTAGTAATTTATACAGAAGAGGGTTACTAGCCCCTTGCTCCCGGCATTTTAGTCGCCTCTTACGGCATGCATGGCTTGTGGAAGAAGAATTCTTTTCCACTTTCCCAAGGAGATGAGGAAATAAAGAACAAGAACTTTTAAGAAAATAGAAGAAAGCCCAGATGGGTGTGTAAATATACTTATATGCATGTACATGCATGTGTACTGTGACCCATGTGTAAGTAGAAGGAGCAAGATATACCTATTATCCCATGGGTTTATGAGACAGAAAAAAGACACCAGCTATCCTATCACCATGTAAAACAATTATAGGTTTCCATTTCACACTCACTTGGCAGGAAAATAGTACCTCCCTAGGCAGTTGCTGTCTACCAACATACTACCTAGAACACATTACTTACCTTAAAATATTTTCATCCTTAACTTATAGTGAGTGGTGAATATATTTATTGTAGGAAGTCTGAATAAATGAAGAATGGGTATAACTGAAAACGGATGCATTAGTGTAACACTGTAAAGTGAAGCACTGTAAAGCAGGTCATTCTGTATTTCTTTTTCCTTTCAACCTGCCAGCCGTATCCCACCGAGGTGGGGTGGCCCAAAAGGAAAAATGAAAGTTTCTCCTTTCAAATTTAGTAATACAGTGGACCCCCGCATAACGTTGGCATTGCATATTGTTAAATCCGCATAGTGATACATTTTATCGCTAAAATTTTGCCTCGCATAGTGGTAAAAAATTCGCTCAACGCGATTCGTCCGAGACACGTCCATGCGACCTGAGCCAGCCTCACTTGTTCTGCCAGTGGTACTGTTTACAAGCCAGCCTCCGCAGTAACATTCAAGCATACAATCGGAACATTTCGTATTATTACAGCCTTTTTATGGTGATTTCACCTGAAAAGTAAGTGACCATGGGCCCCAAGGAAGCTTCTAGAGCCAACCCTACAGGAATAAGGGTGAGAATTACTATGGAGATGAAGAAAGAGATCATTGCTAAGTATGAAAGTGGAGTGTGTGTCTCCGAGCTGGCCAGGTTGTATAGTAAACCCCAATCAACCATTGCTTCTATTGTGTCCAAGAGAATGGCAATCAAGGAAGCTGTTCTTGCCAAAGGTTTAACTGTGCTTTCGAAACAGAGATCGCAAGTGATAGAAGATGTTGAGAGACTGTTATTGGTGTGGATAAACGAAAAACAGATAGCAGGCGATAGCATCTCTCAAGCGATCATAAGTGAAAAGACTAGGAAGTTGCACGAGGATTTAATTTGAAAAATGCCTGCAACTAGTAGTTATGCGAGTGAATTTAAGGCCAGCAAAGGTTGGTTTAAGAGATTTAAGAGGCATAGTGGCATACATAGTGTGATAAGGCATGGTGAGGCTGCCAGTTCGGACCAAAAAGCAGCTGAAAAATATGCACATGAATTCAAGGAGTACATAGACAGTGAAGGACTGAAACCTGAACAAGTGTTTAATTGTGACGAAACAGGCCTGTTTTGGAAGAAAATGCCAAGCAGGACCTACATTACTCAGAAGGAAAAGGCACTCCCAGGACATAAGCCTATGAAAGACAGGCTTACTCTTCTCATGTGTGCCAATGCTAGTGGTGATTGCAAAGTGAAGCCTTTATTAGTGTATCACTCTGAAACTCCCAGAGCGTTCAGGCAAAAGAATATCCTCAAGGCTAATTTGTGTGTGCTGTGGAGGGCAAACAATAAGGCATGGGTCACTAGGGACTTTTTCTATGACTGGTTACACCAAGCATTTGCCCCCACTGTGAAAATTTACCTAACTGAAAAGAAATTAGACCTTAAGTGCCCCCTGGTGTTAGACAATGCCCCTGGTCATCCTACAGACTTGGCAGAGCGACTTTGTGGGGACATGAGCTTCATTAAGGTTAAGTTTTTGCCTCCTAATACCACTCCTCTCCTGCAGCCCATGAACCAGCAGGTTATTGCAAACTTCAAAAAACTGTACACAAAAGCTCTGTTTGAAAGGTGCTTTGTAGTGACCTCAGAAACTCAATTAACTAAGAGAGTTTTGGAGAGAGCACTTTAATATCCTCAATTGTGTAAACCTTATAGGTAAGGCTTGGGAGGGAGTGACTAAGAGGACCTTGAACTCTGCTTGGAAGAAACTGTGGCCAGAATGTGTAGACCAAAGGGATTCTGAAGGATTTGAGGCTAACCCTGAGAATCCTATGCCAGTTGAGGAATCAATTGTAGCATTGGGGAAGTCCTTGGGGTTGGAGGTTAGTGGGGAGGATGTGGAAGAGGTGGTGGAGGAGGACAATGAAGAACTAACCACTGATGAGCTGCTAGATCAACTTCAACAGCAAGAGGCCACACCTGAGGAAATTGCTTTGGAGGAGGGGAGAGAGAAATTGAAGAAGTTGCCTACTTCAAAGATTAAGGAAATCTGTGCAAAGTGGCTTGAAGTGCAAACCTTCATGGATGAAAATCACCCTCAGACAGCTATTGCAAGCCGTGCTGGTGACTATTACACTGACACTGTTGTGAAACACTTTAGGAAAGTCATAAAGGAACGAGAGGTACAGGCCACTATGGACAGATATGTTGTGCGACAGAAGTCCAGTGACTCTGAAGCTGGTCCTAGTGGCATTAAAAGAAGGGAAGCAACCCCAGAAAAGGACTTGACACCTCAAGTCCTAATGTAAGGGGATTCCCCTTCTAAACACTAAAACCATCCAGTCTCCCCTCCTCTCATCCCATCACTCATCACCACATCTTCAATAAAGGTAAGTGTCATGTAACTGTGCATGTTTTCTTAAGTTTGTGTGTATTAAAATTAATATTTCATGTGGTAATTTTTTTTTTTTTCATACTTTTGGGTGTCTTGCACGGATTAATTTGATTTCCATTATTTCTTATGGGGAAAATTAATTCGCATAACGATAATTTCGCATAACATTGAGCTCTCAGGAACGGATTAATAGCGTTATGCGGGGGTCCACTGTATATACAGGAGAAGGGGTTACTAGCCCCTTGCTCCTGGCATTTTAGTCGCCTCTTACGACACGCATGGCTTACGGAGGAAGAATTCTGTTCCACTTCCCCATGGAGATAAGAGGAAATATACAAGAACAAGAACTAGAAAGAAAATAGAAGAAAACCCAGAGGGGTATGTATATATATATGCTTGTACATGTATGTGTAGTGTGACCTAAGTGTAAGTAGAAGTAGCAAGATGTACTTGAAATCTTGCATGTTTATGAGACAGAAAAAAGACACCAGCAATCCTACCATCATGTAAAACAATTATAGGTTTCCATTTCACACTCACTTGGCAGGAAAATAGTACCTCTCTAGGCTACCTCCCTACCAACATACTACGTAGAACACATTACTTACCTTAAAATATTTTCATCCTTAACTTATAGTGAGCGGTGAATATATTTATTGTAGGAAGTCTGAATAAATGAACAATGGGTATAACTGAGAACGGATGCATTAGTATAGCACCGCAAAGTGAAGCACTGTAAAGCAGGGCCTTCTGTATTTGTGTTTTACAAAAAACCAAATCTAAAAACAGGTTAGTACAGACCTTGGCTAGGTTAGGGGTTATGCAACCTGTGTGATATGCTCGGGGACACACAGAGCAATGAACCAGAGTACGACCCTCAGTCCCTCCACACACTAGGCAGTGCCGCTGTGAACTGTCACTGAACTTGTTCACGCATTCATAACAATACCTGAAACAGAACAGTAATTAATAAGCACATGTTGCATAAGATTACCTCATATGATAAATTAGAAACCAATAATACAGACCTGTAACAAGATTCCTGTGGTGGATCATGAAAACAAACACGTCAGAACGAGTGGCAAGGAAAACGTGTAAATGTGAAGCATCACACAGAAATGTGTAAAAGAACTTAATGACACAGAACAGAAATGATTAGCTGTGGGTGGAGAAGAAAACACAAAAAAGTTTTAGAGAGAGACCAGTCATGGTTAAGAACTCAATGGTATGGTACAGCTGCATTATAAAAAGAAATACAATAAAGGATTATATATGTAGTAAAAATGAGAAAAGAAGGTGGAATACAGGAAATGATAGGGAAGAATGAAATGGTTTCAACATATGATCCTATAGTGTATGGAATAAAGGCTTTGTGCTGACAACTGGTAGTAGAAAAACTCTTAGAGAAAAGAACATGCCCCGTGATCTGGTGGCTAAAGCTCTTGCTTCACATGGCGAGGGTCTGGCTTCAATTCCCAGCGAGGGTAGAAACACTGGGCGTGTTTCTTTACACCGGTTGTCTATGTTCCCCATCAGTAAAATGGGAACCTAGGTGTTGGTCGGCTGGTGTGGGTCGCATCCTGGGACAAAACTGACCTAATTTGCCAGAAATGCTCTGCATAACAAGGGGCTTTCTATATACAGTGGACCCCCGGTTTACGATCAGCTCCCAATGCGACCAATTATGTAAGTGTATTTATGTAAGTGCGTTTGTATGTGTATGTTTGGGGGTCTGAAATGGACTAATCTAATTCGCAATATTCCTTATGGGAACAAATTCGGTCAGTACTGGCACCTGAACATACTTCTGGAATGAAATAATATCGTAAACCGGGGGTCCACTGTAGTAGTATGTCTTTGATGTCAGCTAGACCTGTATACCTTGTACATGTACTTGTAGTAAATAAAGATATTAACCCTTTGACTGTTTTCGACGTATAAATACGTCTTACGAGCCAATGTTTCTGACGTATATATACTCAATAATTCTAGCGGCTTCAAATCAAGTGGGAGAAAGCTGGTAGGCCCACATGTGAGAGAATGGGTCTGTGTGGTCAGTGTGCACCACATAAAAAAAATCCTGCAGCACACATTGCGTAATGAGAAAAAAAAAACTCTGATCGTTTTTTTGGAATAAAACGCCGACTTTGAGGTGTATTTTCGTATAGTATTTATCGTTGTATTCGCGTTTTCATGGTCTTAGGTGATAAAATGGAAAACATATTACAGAAATAGAGATGATTTTCATTACTTTTACGATGAAAACGACCTTGAAACTGAGCTCAAAGTAGCGGAAATGTTCGATTTTTACCAATGTTCAAGAGTACATAAATCACACCACACGTCCAATACACGTCAACTGGGGAGTCTAATATTCTTTCACTAGTGCACTGATATTATTTATACCATTTTTACAATAATGCAGTCGTCTGCATAACAGTAAATTTTGTATTTTTTTTGTATGAATAAAAAATCAAAATAGAAAGCAATAATAATATAAGAGGGGCCTAGAGATGTGACTAATGAACAGAGCATATGTTATTTTAGTGCCACGAATGTCTACCTTGTTTATTCTGGACCCTATTTTGAAATTGGCTTTTTTTTTTTATTTTGTGTGAAATTGGCCAAATTGCCAATTTCTGACCACCATATTGGGTAGTCCAAATTAGTAAAAGGGAGATTTCTTGTACTCAGCTGATAGATAAAATGGAGTTCTAAAGAAATAGCTATGAGTTTGGTCAACTGGAACAATGGAATTGGCTGAAAATTCGGCTCAAAGTCGGCGAAATCGCCGATACGCATATGTCGCCGAGACCGCTAACTTCGCGGGAGCATAATTCCACGAGTTTTCGACCAAATTTCGAACTTTTGGTGTCATTACCATCGGGAAAAGATTCTCTATCATTTCATAAGAAAAAATAATTTTTTTTTTTTTCAAAAATTGAGCGACATAGAATGACAGTTTCAGAGAGGGGCCTGAAACGGTCAAAGGGTTAATATATTATTATTATATTAAACCAATTTTCACCTACTTGGGGATTATTAAGCATTTCATTAAGCACCCAATAGGCAAAACATTTTATAAACAAAAAGGTTCTTTACTCTATATCTTCACTACCATTTAACAGTATGTTTACAAATGAGCAAGACTGAGTACCAGATATAGAAGGGAAGACAAACCACATTCAACTGTGCAAATCACTCAAAGATTGTTCACAAATTAATGATGTGTGAAGTGTCTGATAAACAAAGGATGGCGAATATGATACTGCTCCACAATTAAAGCAGGACAGGCAGAAAGTCCTGATCTACAGACCAGTCAGTATAAGGTATAAAATAGGCATAGCATATTCCATTGGACTGCCCTCCATAAGGGTCACAAAAAAAAGTACACCTACCATCCGACTTACGACCTGCTCGACTTACGACCACTCGACTTACAACCACTCGACTTACGACCGTGTTTTTTATGCCAAATTTCTGGGAAATAAACAACTATTTGTGTTGTACACAGTGTTTATCCTAAACCTTACAGTATAAAATACAATACTAACAACATAGAAAGTAAAGTAAAACATGAAATACCAAAATAAAACAATAAAATAAAGTCATTACAAAAATGTTTTGTTGATATTCAGTAGTAAAGTTCGACTTACGACCATTTCGACTTACGACCGGTTTCTCGGAACCGAACTCGGTCATAAGTCGGATGGTAGGTGTATATATAATAAAATAACATAAGTATAAAATTTAAGATCATAAACTGAGAAAAGAATAAGGATATACTGATTAAGTCAACAAAATGAGTAAATTATCATGGTTGACTCAAGGTGGTGTAAGGCTGAAGATGGATCAAGTCAAGACAAATGACATAATATGCCACTAAACTAATAGGATGCACCTTAAATATTATTATTGTATCTGAATCAAAGAGGATTTTACCAGGATCAGGTTACCTCTTTTCTCTTTGAAGGATAAGCTTAGAAGAAGTTACAAATTATAATCTGTAAACCCCCAGGAGTGAACTTACCAGTCACCATCAGGAATGTTATTCATGGGTGGCTTGAAGCAGTGAGTGTGATAACCCTTGTCACAGCCATCACACAAAAGCAGCTTCTCCTCGTGATCGCCACTATGGCAGAATTGGCAATACTGTCCAGCCAAAAGAACCAAAGTAAATTTTAAAATGATTATTATGCTTAGGAGTGGTAGTCATAACTGTAAAAAAAATATTGATATTTTTTATGAACAGTACCTAGTTATTGACATTATGTGAATATTTTTTTCACATTTAAAGAATGGTAGATGTTATAGAAATCTTTAAAAATTTTCTCCTATGAATATTCTATTAACCATGTAGAGGAGAACTGCCAACAGTATATACAATTATTTTAAGTCAATAGTCTTTATATTTTTAAGTAACTGAGTTAACATGTACAGTACTGTACTGTACATGATATTTAAGAGGAGTAAAGGAAGAAAAACCAATATGTATTAAAGAACTTTATTTACCCAGTGTCTGCATTTTTTTTTTTAACAAGTCGGCCGTCTCCCACCGAGGCAGGGTGACCCAAAAAGAAAGAAAATCCCCAAAAAGAAAATACTTTCATCATCATTCAACACTTTCACCTCACTCACACATAATCACTGTTTTTGCAGAGGTGCTCAGAACACAACAGTTTAGAAGCATATACATATAAAGATACACAACATATCCCTCCAAACTGCATATATTGTGATAATTATTCTAGTACAGTATTGCACAATCTTGATGTTCCAATTTATTAGCAGTTTCATGCAATATTAACAAGATACTGTTGAAATTATATAAACATAAAAAATTAACAATTACTGACAAACAAAACAAAAGACTGTAAATACTTACAGCTTTCATAATACTTTTATCCCAGGCAACTGCTGTTTCCAACATGTATGTACACATTGCTAGCTGAGCAGCAGTCTCTGATTTGCTTACTGCTTCTCGCCAAATTTGAAGACCCTTGGGTGATTCTTTGACTTCTGGTGTTCCTTCATTCTTCGGGTTAGGCGGAACCCCTGTGAATAAATAGCAAAAAAATAATTTTAGTTTTATAAAAATTGGCCACTTAATCATGAATAATTTTGGTAGCTGAAAACTAGATGGACAGTATTTAAGAGAAGTTATCACCATTTATGTACCTGTAAGCAAAATGTGACTGAGGGCAATTTAAAAATAAAACAATGGACTCAAAGTGGGCAAAATAGATGATGCATAAACTGTGCCGAGAATGCTAACTTTGTGCCTGTGTAATTCCATAAATTTTCTATAAAATTTCATACTTTTGGTGTCATTATCTTTAGAAAGAGATTCTCTACCATTGCAGAAGATTGATTTTTTTTAGTGAACATGAGAGCAATATTAATTTCAGGTGTCTGGATAGTGAAAGGGTTAAATTTACTTTTCATACAGCACTATTATATTCAAATTTCTGCTTTTGGAATTTTGTATGTACTTATCATGGTCATAAATATGTCTATAATTTCAAAATCACGAATCCTCATTACCAATGTACAGTTAAGTATGAGACGGAGAATTCATACAGCACAATACCTAGTACGTATGTGACTAATGAAATGTTCATCATATACAGTACAGTAATTTAGAAGACAAATACAGTACATGTTTATTAATGTCTTTATTTCCCAGGTAAAAAAAATAATTACATTACTTATCCTTAATGGTTAGTGAAAAATTGTATAGTATTGCATATGGAAGTGATTAACAATTAAATTGTTTTTAAGATACCATTAATTGCTCTATATATACATAATTTATTTTTTTATACTCTACTATACTTTTTATTTAGCAGTGACAAACCCATCCTAATTTGTAAGATTTGTTTCTCCTAGTAATTAATCATCAACCTATGGCTCAGTTTGGTTAATTTTTTTTTTTAACCTAATTAATGGTTATTTTTAACCCCAGCTGCTATCCCCCACAAACATAGGGCAACTCACAAACAAGAACCATTCACCATCATTCATTCAATATCTGCCTTGCCAGAAGTGTACAGTACTAACATTACAATTCAAATGATCCTCCAAACTGCAATATCTCAACTCCTCCTTCAGAGCTAATTCACTATACTGCCCACCTCTGGGACTCAAGTATGGAAAACTAGTTTCCCTGAATCCCTCCATAAATATTAGCATATGAACCCTCCAGTTCAAAACTGCAAATATCCCCACCCCTCCTTCAGAGTGCAGGCACTGTACTTCCCACCTCCAGGACTCAAGTTTGGCTAATCAGTTTCCTTGAATTCCTTCGTAAATATTACCTTGCCAACACTCCAACAGCACATCAAGTCATAAAAACCACTTGCCTCCAAGCACTTCTATCTTAAGTGTTTGTGAGTGAGCATATTAGATAAAAGTGAGTGCAGACAAGTGGTTTTTATGACTTGATGTGCTGTTGGAGTGTGAGCAAGGTAACATTTATGAAGGGATTCAGGGAAATTGGTTAGCCGAACTTGAGTCATAGAGGTGGGTACAGTACCTGCACTCTGAAGGAGGGGTGGGGATATTTGCAGTTCTGAGCTGTAGTATTGGCATCCTTCTGGTAAAACAGTGATGGTGAAAGTGTTTCTTCCTTTTTGAGTCACCCTACCATGATGGGAGATGGCTGGTTTCTTGAAAAAATAAATAGTGATATTACTGTGAAGAATATGTAAATGGGTAAATCAAGGTGTATAGTCTCACAAAAGTGGAAAGGATATGTTAACGCCGAAATTTGCTGATATTTTTTCCTACCTTTTATAATGCTATAATGTAATAATAAATACAAAAATCCAATTGAAGTCACAGTTTGTAGTCATAACAATTTTTATTTTAATTTTTTTCAAAATCCTGTAGTATGATAGCATAATCTTAATACATTTAAGTACTAAACAAGCACACAGCTCATCATTCAGATGCCTAAGGTGGATCAGTACTGTATATATATTCATCCTATGTTTGATACATGGTACTCTAGAATAAATGCTGTACTGAATGTCTGCATTCCCCAGGTAAAGGATGAATTACAGAATTTATCATCTAAGTCTATTGTTAAATCATGGAACATAAATTTAGATAGAAATGATCAATATATAAAATGTGAAGGAATACCTTGAGTAAGGTGGCAGGTAAAAGGATAAAAAAAAAAATAGTGAGGTGACAGGAGTCATAACTCTGAACCATTGAAGCTTGAGAGAGATCAATGTAAATACTTGCAAAATCCTGCCTTAAATAACTTTAGATTTTTTGTTTCTTTTTAGCAAAGATTGACATACAGATTATTCATTTAACCTGGGGCACAAGTATGCATCTGAAAACTACAGTGAAACCTGTTTACTCTTCATTTTGGGGCTTTCATGGAAGAGGTCACTAGCAATTTTTTTTTTTTTTTTTGAAGAGTGTAGAAACTTTACTGACAGCACTTCATAGTTGTAGAGAATGGTGCCAACTTCTTATTTTCTTTTACCTTGATACACAACCTTTAAATTGAAAAATAATCAAAGGACTCACTTCAAAATATTTTTTTTCTGAACATGGTTGCAATCCACTTCTCATACCTGAAGTTGTTTTCTCTGGGTTACCCTTATGAAAATAATCTTTAAAGCAATTACGGTGATACTGATAGAAAGTCATTTTCCACTGCTAGTTTGACTCATCATTCTGTTAGTTTTGACCATATGGTATCTCTTTAAATGCTGGCATGGGAGATCATGTGAGTACATCTTGAAAGAAATCAGTGATGGTTAATTTTTCAATTTAGAGGTCATGTACCAAGGTAAAATGGGCAGTGATGAAAGCGATGCTCCTCCTTGCACTCCATGAAAAGACATTTTTTTTTTTGCTAGTGACCTTCCACAGAAGACTAAAGTTAGCAAATAAAAATGTAGTTAAAACCATGGTTTCACTGTACATATGTTTTTATTTTGCCTCCAAAACTTATTTGGCATCCTTGCCTAAAATTAACATTACTGAGATTATTCCTTTATAACCTATCTTAGGCCAAATTTAATTTAATTAGAAATACTGAACATGAATGAAATATAATAATTAAGCTTTTTGGTATTCACTGATTTTCATGGATTATTGTAATGATAAATTTACACTGAGCTTGTTTGATAAAACAAATGTTGCCTTATAAGCAAAGATTGTAAGTTCTGCCTTAAAAGCATGACAAGGTCTATACATTTCCAGTTACACAAAGGGATTCTATGGAAAAATGAATTCTCATATAAGATGTTTGATGTAGAAAAAGCATTTATGGAAGGCATGTCTTTATCTGAGGATTACCTGTACACAAAATTGCTGGGAGCAATTGTTTCCTACCAAGGCAAACTCTTTAAGCTATTTTCTTTTATATACAGTAGTATCTCTGCTAAGAGAATTCTATTTAGCACTGTAGCACCTGCTACAGTGCTGTAACTTGTCCATTACCCTGGTTCTAAATATTGTACTTATCAATTCCTATTCCTTAAACTTACCTCAAATGGAAAAATACTTGCTCTTCAGTGTAACAACCACTGTTCACCTTCTATCACTGCTATACTGCACATAGTTTAGATGGTATGAAGTACCAAAAAATCTGGTAATATTCTAATGTTGTCCTAAGCTTACCTAATGGAGGTTTAAGGTATCTTCTTTCAATACCTTCTTCAAGTGCTAGGAGTCTTTCTCTGCCAATATGGATGGGATTAAGGCGAATATCATTTTCATCCACAGGCTGAAGACAAGATGCACGGAATTCTCCTACATGCTTCTCTCCACTGTCACCCAAGCGCCAGCTCTGTGTGCATACATGTGACACTTGTGAAAAAGCAAAATCAGGAATTTAATATTCTCTGCCTTACATGATATGGCAATCCATTTTACTATCATGTAAAAATTCAATGAATAAAAAATATAAATCTTAAACTAAATATTCCATGCTATATACAGTGGAACCCCGGTACTCGAATTTAATTCATTCCAGAGCCGATCTGTTTGAGTACCAAACAAATTTTTCCAAACCTATTTTCTTTTTGGTTGGCTGCTATCATTAATCTTCATAGGCCCCATGGTGACTTATTTATACCAATAAAAAAAAATGCAAAGAAACAAAATAGTTTACAGAGAAGTTCGGGCAGGTCATGTTTGTTTGGTCAAGTGCCAAGCAAACGGTCGACTACCGAGTGATTTTTTTACCGAACAAAGCGTTCAAATACTGAATTGTTTGAGTAGGGAGCTGTTCGAGTACTGAGGTTCCACTGTAAAATACGGTAAACCTATTCTAAATTTCCATAAAAAATTATTAATTTTTATATACTGTAAACCAAAAAAATTATAACTACAGTAAAATACTGTATCCTGCACTGTTAGAATACAAAAGAAGTAATGAAGAATGCAGCAGCATTTGTCCTGCTCAATATACAATCAAAATAAAGGTACGTTAAAAATTATACAGTAAATCCTCTAATAATGCAACTTCAAGTTGTCCAATTGTTTTGCAATACGACTCAAAAAGTGCAACCAAAACAATTTGATGGCTCTGGAAAGTAGGAATATTGCATGGCAGAAAACATGAGAGAATCAGCTAATATGAAATTTTGGCACTATCCACCTTAAGTATCCATAGCCTAAACTGACAAAGAAAATCTGAATACTACACTTCATGAAATTTTTCTCCTCCATCTAAAGTTAGGCAGTTGGGCCTAAGGGTCAAGAGACTGTTTATGGAGGCACAGCTTCTTTCCTTCTCCACTAACACCCATGTCACCCTACTTACACACTGCAAGTTTGCCTAACAATTTTTTAATATTTTCATCACCTCATATCTCTCTCTGGATATTAACACTGGGATCCAAGAGAAATACTAGTGATGCTGGAGGTGCCAGGAAGAATATGCATGACTCTATGACTGTATTGAAGAAAGCCTAAGTTTTACATATGTTTTGAGGCAGTGGATGCACAATGAAGGTTGTCCATGCTTGTGGTGTGAGAGAATCATTCATACAACTAGAAACAAAAAGAAAAAATATGAGCTTGGGCAATAAGTACAGATTATGACCTGCTGAAGGGAAAACAAAGAACAGGGCCCTTGCCTAGTGTTCAGATAAAAAGGAGCAAAACCTTATCCATAGCCTTCACAACAATGTATGTTTAGTGCTGGAGGGTTCAAAAATTAAAAAATAAAAACAAAAATCAGTTGATCATGTAGCCACAAGAGGTTACTAATGCTGACTGTGCAGAAATTATTTCTGAGAACAGTTACAGTCCCAGGCAAAGGTTTAATGCTAATGAGATAGGGTTATGTTGGAAGTGCATACAATTAAGCCAGAAAAAATTACACCTGGTTTCAAAGTAGCTAAGGATCACCTCAGCTTGCTTCTGTATGTAAATCCAATAGGTGACTTCAAATGCAAGCCTATGCTTATTTATCATGCAGAGCACTCAAGCATTAACCCTTTGACTGTTTCAGCTGTATATATACGTCTTACGAGCCAGTGTTTTGGACGTATGTATACTCAATAATTCTAGCGGCTTCAAATCAAGCAGGAGAAAGCTGGTAGGCCCACATGTGAGAAAATGGGTCTGTGTGGTCAGTGTGCACTGTTTAAAAAATCCTGCAGCACGCAGTGCAAAATGAAAAAAAAAAAAAAAACTGACCCTGTTTTTGGATTAAAATGCCAACTTTGAGGTGTATTTTTGTATAGTATTTATGGATGTATTCTCATTTCTTGGTCTCATTTGATAGAATGGAATACATATTACAGAAATGGAGATGATTTTGATTAGTTTCATGATGAAAATAACCTTGAAATTGAGCTCAAAGTAGTGGAAATGTTTGATTTTTACCAATGTTCAAGAGGAAGCAAATCACACCACACATCCAATACACATCAACTAGGGAGTCTAATATTCTTTCACTAGTGCACTATTATTATTTATACCATCTTTACAATAATGCAGTAGTCTGCATTAACAGTGAATCTTCTATTTTTTGTGTGAATAAAAAATCAAAATAGAAAGCAAGAGTAATATAAGAGGGGCCTGGAGCCATGACTAATGAGCAGAGGATATGTTATTTTAGTGCCAAGAATGTCCACACTGTTTATTCTGGACACTATTTTGAAATTGGCATCTTTTTTAATTTGTGTGAAATTGACCAAATTGCCAATTTCTGACCACTTTATTGGATAGTTGAAATCGGTAAATGGGCAGTTGCTTGTACTCAATTGATAGAAAAATGGAGTTCCAAAGAAAGAGCAATGAGTTGGGTTGACTGGAACAATGGAATTGGCCAAAAATAGGGCTCAAAGTCAGCGAAATCGCCAATGCGTATATATCGCTAAGATCGCTAACTTCGCGGGAGAGTAATTCCTTAAGTTTTTGATTAAATTTCGTACTTTTGGTGTCATTACCATCGGGAAAAGATTCTCTATCATTTCCTAAGAAAAAATAATTTGTTTTTCCCGAAAATTTTGCAACATAGAATGAGTTTCAGAAATGGGCTTGTAACAGCCAAAGGGTTAAAAGGTAAAGATACACCCCATTTGTAAGCTATTTGGTAGTCTAAAATTTCAGCAATGAAGACTGAGGTGCTGTTTATTGAAAGGTTCACTGTTTTCTTTCTGTAGTGAAGATATGCCTGGCCAAAAAGAACCTTGCACTAAAGGTTTTTCTCATTCTTGATAACTACCGCAGTCATCCTTTGATTTTTGTAGTTTGTGGACCGAAATGTGAAGGCCATATTTCTGATGCATCTCTAATAGTCACACAATCAAGATATTATAAAAATAGTAAAGTACGTACCACTAAACACACAAGGTAATGGAAAAACTCGTAGCAGCAGTGACTGACAGCTCTGAGACTGGCATGCATGAGTTCTGCTGTAAATTTAACAATGAAAATGCACCATTCATGTAAAGGTGTCGTAGGATAAAGTGCCCCAATCAGCATAAATGCAGGTCAGCATCAATTATGGTTTTCTGTGGTGAATAATTTCTTTGGTTTTTCCTGAGCAAGGAGTCAGGCCTAGGAAACTGTCTCTGACAAGTCCTGTGAGAGCAGAAGGCTGAAGATAAGCATGAAGAAGCTATAAATGAGCTAGGAATGAACTGCAGAAAAACTGATGCATGAGCTCACTTCCCATCTATGAGAGAAAGAGAGAGAAGCAGATATCAAAGAGGATGAAGATGATCCTAAATATAAACAGTCAATTCTGCAGGAGTTACATGAGCAATTTCTGATTATTGGTCATATTCAGACTTTCATGAGAAAGACCCTGAAATGCCTAAACGCACTGTTGTGAACTGGGGCTTGCACAACAATGATGATGCCTTATTATTAGCTCTATAAAGTACTGAAGGGTAAAATAGACCAGAGCTACATTACAAAATACATAAGCATTCCAATACAATCATCAACTACTGACAACTCTGCATCTACATCAACACAAGAACCACAGCCATCTACCTCAGCCCAATGAACTCACATCAGCCCTCTTCATATTCTTCAGATTCAATAAGTACCCACTATTAGAATGCAAAGTAAGTTAAACTGTAGTAATTTTTACCTAGTACAAGTACATAGAATGAAAGTGGGTAAAGCAGCTGGAACTGATGGGATCATGACAGAAATGTTAAAAGCAGGGGGGGATATAGTGCTGGAGTGGTTGGTACTTTTGTTTAATAAATGTATGAAAGAGGAGAAGGTACCTAGGGATTGGCAGAGAGCATGTATATTCCCTTTATATAAAGGGAAAGGGGACAAAAGAGACTGTAAAAATTATAGAGGAATAAGTTTACTGAGTATACCAGGAAAAGTGTACGGTAGGGTTATAATTGAAAGAATTAGAGGTAAGACAGAATGTAGGATTGCGGATGAGCAAGGAGGTTTCAGAGTGGGTAGGGGATGTGTAGATCAAGTGTTTACATTGAAGCATATATGTGAACAGTATTTAGATAAAGGAAGGGAAGTTTTTATTGCATTTATGGATTTAGAAAAGGCATATGATAGAGTGGATAGAGGAGCAATGTGGCAGATGTTGCAAGTATATGGAATAGGTGGTAAGTTATTAAATGCTGTAAAGAGTTTTTGAGGATAGTGAGGCTCAGGTTAGGGTGTGTAGAAGAGAGGGAGACTACTTCCTGGTAAAAGTAGGTCTTAGACAGGGATGTGTAATGTCACCATGGTTGTTTAATATATTTATAGATGGGGTTGTAAAGGAAGTAAATGCTAGGGTGTTCGGGAGAGGGGTGGGATTAAATTTTGGGGAATCAAATTCAAAATGGGAATTGACACAGTTACTTTTTGCTGATGATACTATGCTTATGGGAGATTCTAAAGAAAAACTGCAAAGGTTAGTGGATGAGTTTGGGAATGTGTGTAAAGGTAGAAAGTTGAAAGTGAACATGGAAAAGAGTAAGGTGATGAGGGTATCAAATGATTTAGATAAAGAAAAATTGGATATCAAATTGGGGAGGAGGAGTATGGAAGAAGTGAATGTTTTCAGATACTTGGGAGTTGACGTGTCGGCGGATGGATTTATGAAGGATGAGGTTAATCATAGAATTGATGAGGGAAAAAAGGTGAGTGGTGCGTTGAGGTATATGTGGAGTCAAAAAACGTTATCTATGGAGGCAAAGAAGGGAATGTATGAAAGTATAGTAGTACCAACACTCTTATATGGGTGTGAAGCTTGGGTGGTAAATGCAGCAGCGAGGAGACGGTTGGAGGCAGAGGAGATGTCCTGTTTAAGGGCAATGTGTGGTGTAAATATTATGCAGAAAATTCGGAGTGTGGAAATTAGGAAAAGGTGTGGAGTTAATAAAAGTATTAGTCAGAGGGCAGAAGAGGGGTTGTTGAGGTGGTTTGGTCATTTAGAGAGAATGGATCAAAGTAGAATGACATGGAAAGCATATAAATCTATAGGGGGAGGAAGGCGGGGTAGGGGTCGTCCTCGAAAGGGTTGGAGAGAGGGGGTAAAGGAGGTTTTGTGGGCGAGGGGCTTGGACTTCCAGCAAGCGTGCGTGAGCGTGTTAGATAGGAGTGAATGGAGACGAATGGTACTTGGGACCTGACGATCTGTTGGAGTGTGAGCAGGGTAATATTTAGTGAAGGGTTTCAGGGAAACCGGTTATTAACATATAGTCGGACTTGAGTCCTGGAAATGGGAAGTACAATGCCTGCACTTTAAAGGAGGGGTTTGGGATATTGGCAGTTTGGAGGGATATGTTGTGTATCTTCATATGTGTATGCTTCTAAACTGTTGTATTCTGAGCACCTCTGCAAAAACAGTGATAATGTGTGAGTGTGGTGAAAGTGTTGAATGATGATGAAAGTATTTTCTTTTTGGGGATTTTCTTTCTGTTTTGGGTCACCCTGCCTCGGTGGGAGATTGCCGACTTGTTGAAAAAAAAAAAAAAAAGTGTCTGGAAAGCAACCCCACTTTTATATGTTTTTCCTTTCATGTAACACATTTATTTATATTTATATTTATTATGATAAGATTTACTTTAACTAATATATGCAATCTGACTATATTACACTAATTTAGAATTTATTAATTCCTATAATAAATATTAGAATGAAGAAAATTATTAAAACAGCTTATTAAAAATATTGCAGTAATTACCTTTACCTTATTTTGCATGGAAGCATTTGTTATTTTCTCTTCCATTGCATATACAGCATCTAGGATAAGAAAATCCACTTTTAGAGCACTCTCGGGTAACCAATGGGATGGATCATCAGCCACAGGAGTGCCATACTCATCATAGACAACTTTCTCACCATCCTCGGCTTCAGGATCCAAGTTAACAGCTTCACAATCAATCTGATACAAGAGAATTTTGTTTAAGCTTATTTCATAACTATCTTGTTACAAGTGCTTTACTCTTTTATTTCTAAATTATTGTAAAAAATACTATATCCATAATACAACCCAGTATAATATTTAAAAACAGGTACTGGTGGGATGCCATACATGTTCTTAAACAAATTTTCATTACTGAGTATGTATGTATGTGCAGAATACCCAAGCATTATACAAACAAGAAGAATGCAGCATAAATAAATTTTATCCTTTTATGCAATAAGCTCAAATTTTTTAAGATTCGTGATCAGCCTTGCTACCCTCTTCCATTCTATTGCTTACTGATGTTATCCTCACATTCTATACTACAGTGACACACATTATCCCATCACCTCAGTAATGACCACTGCCACAAGTAAAAATAAATCAAAGCACAACATAGACAAACGTTGTCTAATTTTAAATGACTAGTAAACTTTTCTTGCAACTTTCAACACAAACTATTCTTTTCTTTTAACATGCTGGCCATCTCCCACCGAAGCAGGATGACCCCAAAATGAAGAAACACTTTCACTGTCTTTGCAGAGGTGCGCACATATGACAGAATACATGTCACTTGAAATGGGAAATATCCCAAACCCCTGCTTTAAAGTGCAGGCATTGTACTTCCCATCTCCAGGACTCAAGTCCGGCTAACTGGTTTCCCTGACTCCCTTCACAGAACATTAAACTGCTCATACTCCAACAGCTCGTTAAGTCCCAAACACCATTTGTCTCCATTCATTCCTATCTAACAGGCTCACACATGCCTGCTGTATGTCCAAAACTAACCTAAGTATGTTTTATAATTCATTGCCTTACAGTATCTTAGAAGAATACTGAGAAACTATATACAACCTCTCCTCACTTAACAACGGAGATCTGTTCCTAAGACCACGTCGGTAAACGAATTTGTCGCTAAGTGAGAAGCATACTATAATGGTAGTGGGTTTGTGTCAACCAATTTTGATATTGTTTTAATGTCACCTTTGCACCATTTATATTTTTAAATGTTTGTACAGTAGTGTATTGTATATTGCAATAGGCAGAATAAAGGAAATCAGCTCTATTTATTTATTTTTTTATTTTTATTAAGGCATCAACTGTTTCCCACCAAGGTAGCGTGGCCCAAAAAAGAAAAACTTTCACCATCATTCATTCTATTACTGTTTTTCCATGGGCACGCTTACACTATACAGGTCTCCCTCAACATTCATGTTTTCCACTTTCGCGGACTTCGAACTTTCGTGAATTCCCTGCCGCCCAATCTTATTTAAAATATGTCATTACATATGTTAGGAATTGTGGCGGTGGCAGAGCAACTGAGACAACTCCCACTTTGTGTTAGAATCTTTATCTTTTAACACCACACCTCTTGCCAACACCTAAGCACTCACTTCTCTTACAACCCCATCTGTAAATATATTGAACCACCATGGTGGCATTACACATCCTTGTCTAAGGCCCTCTCTCCTACATACTCTAACCTGAGTCTCACTATTCTCATAAAAGTTCTTCACTGCTTTCAATAACCTACCTAATATTCCATACATTTGCAACATCTGCCACATTGTCCCCCTATCCACCCTGTCATATGCCTTTTCCAAATCCATAAATGCCACAAAAACCTCTTTACCCTTATCTAAATACTGCTCACCTATATGTTTCACTGTAAACACTTGTTCTACACACCCCCTACCCTTCCTAAAGCCTCCTTGTTTATCTGCTATCCTACTCTCTGTCTTACTCTTAATTCTTTCACACACTTTACCAGGTATACTCAACAGACTTTTCTTCTTTCTTTCAATGCACCGGCCATATCCTACCGAAGCGGGGTGGCCCAAAAAGAAAAACAGAAGTTTTTCATTTTACATTTAGTAATATATACAGGAGAAGGGGTTACTAACTCCTTGCTCCTGGCATTTCAGTCACCTCATACAACAAGCATGGCTTACAGAGGAAAGATTCTTTTCCACTTCCCCATGGAGAATAGAGGAAATAAAGAAGAACAAGAGCTATTAAAAAAAAGAAGAAAAAACCTAGATATATGTATATACAGCTTCTCCTCACTTAACATTGAAGGTATACAGTGAACCCCGCATTTCGCTAGCCACAACTTTCGTGAAATATGACTTTCGGCAAAACATAGCCTCGCAGTTCACGATTGGCCTCGTAATTCGGCGACCATCTGGTACGCATCCAACGTCAGCGCGCTCACAAAGCCAGTCTCCCACACCATTCACACTCAGTGTGTCATTGTTTATCAGCGTGTGACCATCATCACACACATTCATACATTTCGTAAAATTCCAATCTTTCTTGTACTTCCAGTTGCTAAATAAGTCACCATGGATGCAAAGAAAGCTAGTGCCAGCCCTTTGGTAAAGAAAGTGAGAAACACAATTGAATTAAAGAAAGAAAGAAATTGAAAAATATGAAAGTGTAGTGCGTGTTTCAGAGCTTGCCAGGATGTATGGCAAACACCATTCAACTATCACTTCAATCATGGCGAAGGGAAAGGAAATCAACGAAGCTGTTGCTGCAAAAGGGGCAGATATGCTGATTAAAAAGAGATCACAAATCCTCGAAGAAGTGGAGAGGATATTGTTGGTGTGGATTACCCAAAAGCAGTTAGCAGGAGACAGTGTTATGCAGCTGATAATTTGTGAAAAGGCAAGGCAGTTGCATGACAATCTTATAAAGAAAATGCCTACAACGAGTGCTGATGTTTGTGATTTTAATGCCAGCAAAGGCTGGTTTGAGAGATTTAAGAAGCATAGTGGCATACACATTGTGGTAAGGCATGGCGAGGCTGCGAGTTCTGACAAAAACGCGGATGAAAAATATGTTCAGGAGTTCAAGGGGTACAAAGAGACTGAACAATTCAAACCCCAACAAGTGTTCAATTGTGACGAAACAGGCCCGTTTTGGAAGAAAATGCCGAAGAGGACCTACATCACATAGGGGGAAACGGCACTGCCAGGACACAAGCCTGTGAAAGACAGGCTAACTCTCATGTTTTGTAATAATGCTAGTGGGGATTTCAAAGTGAAGCCTTTACTGGTGTATCACTCTGAAAATCCCAGTGTTCAAGAAGAAGTGTCGCCAAGGTTAATTTGTGCGATGTGGAAGGGTAACAGTAAGGTATAGGTCACGAGGGACATTTTACTTGATTGGTTCAATGAAGTGTTTGACCCCAGTGTGAAGAAATACCTCCTGGAAAATAAATTGGAACTCAAGTGCCTCCTGGTAATGAACAATGCTCCTGCTCATCCTCCAGACTTCGAAGAGCAAATGGTCCTCCAGCCCATGGACCAGCAGGTCATTTCAAACTTCAAAAAACTGTACACCAAAGCAGTGTTTCAAAAGTGCTTTGAAGTGACCTCAGACACTGAACTGACCTTAAGAGAGTTCTGGAAAGATCACTTCAATATCCTCCGTTGCATAAACCTTATAGGTAAGGCTTCGGAGGGAGTGACTTCCAAGACTTTGAAGTTTGCTTGGAGAATAATTGTGGCCACAATGTGTACAAGAGAGGGATTTTGAAGGGTTTGGGGCTAACCCTGAGGAGCCTATACCAATTGTGGAAAGTATTGTGGCATTGGGGAATTCCATGGGACTGGATGTGAGTTTCGAGGATGTGGAAGAGTTGGTGGAGGATCATGATGAAGAGCTAACAACTACAGAGCTGCAAGACCTTCATCTGCAACAGCAACAGACCACAGCTCAGGAAATTGCTTCAGAGGAGGAAGAAGAGAGATGGAGGAAGGTGCCTTCTTCAAATATTAAAGACATTTGTGCAATGTGGACAAGGGTGCAAACATTTATGGATGAACTTCACCCTGACAAAGCTGTTGCAGGCCATATTGGCAACATGTACAATGACAATGTTGTGTCCCATTTTAAGGATGTTTTAAAGAAATGCCAGAAACAGAGCTCTCTGGGCAGATATTTTGTGCGACAGGGGTCTAGTGTCTCTCAAGCTGGTCCAAGTACCATTAAAAAACAAAGGGAAGTAACCCCAGAAAAGGACTTTGTACCTGAAGTCTTTATGGAAGGGGATTCCCCTTCCAAACAATAGTGTACCTTCATCCTCTTCCCTCCTCCTGTCTTCCATCAACCCAAAAGTCTTCAATAAAGGTCAATGTAATGTTATTATTATTTTATATATGTATGTACTTGACTTCTCATTGTTTTCCGTATGTAAATCTCTATTTAATTTGGAAAAAAAAAAAAAAAAAATTTAATATTTTTAGGTGTCTGGAACGGATTAATTGTATTTCCATTATTTCTTATGGGGAAAATGGTTTTGCCATTCATGAATTTCGACTTTCAGCAGACTCTCAGGAACTGTTTAGCCACAAAAAATGAGGGTCCACTGTATTTTTAATGTTTATACGGTAGTGTACTGTATATTGAAATAACCAGAAGAGAGGAAATCAGCTCTAATATACATTATTTAGGTATAAATACTGGTCAGAGAGCCCAAAGTAAGTTTGAGGCATCAGTAAATAAGCATGTCACTGAGGAGAGGCTGTACTCACCTAATTGTAGTTGCAGGGGTTGAGACTCAGCTCCTGGCCCCACCTCTTCACTGAACGCTACTAGGTCCTCTCTCTCCCTGCTCCATGAGCTTTATCATACCTTGTCTTAAAGCTATGTATGGTTCATGCCTCCACTACATTGCTCACCAGACTGTTCCACTTCCTGACCACTCTATGACTGAAGAACTACTTCCTAACATCCCTGTGACTCATCTGAGTCTTCAACTTCCAAGAGTGACCCCTTGTTTCTGTGTCCCCTCTCTGGAACATCTTGTCTCTGTCCACCCTGTCTATTCCACGCAGTATTCTGTATGTCGTTATCATGTCTCCCCTATCCCTCCTGTCCTCCAGTGTCATCAGGCTAATTTCCCTCAACCTTTCTTCATAGGACATTCCCCTTAGCTCTGGAACTAACCTTGTTGCAAACCTTTGCACTTT